ATGAGGCTAGAAAGGAATCCACGGCGAGAAAAATCAGAGCCCAGTCACCTTTGGGAGGTGTCACTGGAAGGGGTCACCAGGGAGATTTCTGTTTGTGGGAAACGAGCTGGGTGTGGAGTACTCTGGGGTGTGCATGTGTAGACGTTCATCGAGCTGTACACATATTTGTTGAATGTACATCATCCCTTAATGCAAAGTCAAAACAAGACAGCAAACGAAGAAGTACTGCTAAAGCCAGGATCTGGAGGATAAGTGAGAGCTAGCCAGCGAGAAGGGGACCGGTGTCCCTGGAGGTGGGACCAGCATGTGTAAAGACCCAGAGAGGGGAGGGCACGGTGTTGCTTCTCATGGCAGCTCTGGGCTCAACTGACAATGCCCTTGCCCGTCACTTCTCCATGCCCGGTTCTACTCACTTGAAGGCCAACACTGTGGAACAGGATGGTAGAAATCACTTCAAGGGCTCACTTCTCAGATCAATGTTTGAATGTTCCATCTTTGGGTGGTCGAGGAAGAGGCTCGAGCTGGAGCAGAATGGATGGGACTTGGAGTTCAAAGTTGGGTTCAGAGTTCAACTGTGCTGTGAATTGTGTGTTTTGGGACAGGCTCTTCACCCTCTAAGCCTCAGGCTCCCTGTAAGAAGGGTCTTTAACATGCAGAGGTTTAGTGATCGAGTCGGGGTAAAGAAGATATTGGGCTTCCCAGGTCGTAAAGAATCCACCTGCCAACACAGGAGACATAGAGATATGAGCTCGACCCCTGGGTCAGGAAGATCCCCTGGAGGAGGGCACGGCAGCCCACTCCAGTACTGCTTGCCTGGAGAATCCCCAGGGATGGAGGAGCCTGGCAGGCTACAGTCCACGTGGTTGTAAAGAATAGGACACAAATGAAGCAGCTTGGCACGCATGCAAAGAAGATGTTTAACAGATGTAGTCATTTGGAAATGACGGAAGAAGGCCTAAAAGCAAGGGCCTGTCCAAATTTGTGGCCACCCCCTAGAATGACCCAGCATGGCCCTGGTTAGGCTTCTGCAACTCTCAGCCTTTACTTCCTGTCCCAAGACTCCCCCCACCAAAACGGTGCCTGGCAGGGGGTTGAGGAATGTTGATCCATGATAACTGGCACTTAAAACATGCCAGGCACTTCTCTCAGCTCTGTGGACTTGTTTCATCCTCGCAGTAACCCCATAAACTACTACCATCTCATTTTACAGAGGGAGAAACTGAGGCACAGAGCAGGTGAGTAACTTGTCCACAGCCACACAGTAAATTGATAGAGCCTGGCCCCGCATCCCCTGCTCGTAACCACACTGCCATACCGCCCAGCTGGCCTGCATGAGAGAGGCCCCGAGAAGGTACTAGAAGCAACCGGGGTTCTGCTGACCAAGAAGAAGACTGTCTGGGCAGCCAGTGGGACACTCTGGCGCCCTGACATCAGTGAAACCCACGCCCTTTTCGAGGAAGGCAAACCCACCCAGAATAATTGTTGAGCCAACAGGTAGCTTAAGCCGCCTGTAAGCCTGGAGGTGCCCAGGAGGGACGAGGCTGGGCAGCGTGCCGTCGCTGCTGGGATGGGTGAGAGTCACCATTTCTGCCAGCTCTTTTTTTTTTGGCTGTTGTTATTGTCATTATTATTTGTGGGGAGGAGAGATGGGCCTTCTCAAGAATCTGCCTGTGCCTTTTAAAGGATTAATTTTCACCTGGAGCATCATGTGGGACTAATAACCACTCCCTTTCCTCTGTGCCGTCATGTTTTAATGCTGTCTTTCATTTCGCCATGAAGACACCTGATGGGAATGTTCTAGAAACTGCAGCCTGGGGGTGGGAATGGGGGACGCAAGGGAGAGGGCAGTTCATTCTTCCTGGCAGCAGAACTGGGCTCAGATGACGGGGAGGGCCACTGGGTGTGGGATCATGGGAGAGGCTTATTTTTTGCCCTGCTTCTTGAGACATCTATGGGCTTTTCACACTGGCATAAGCAAAAAGAATGAAAAAGAAACAATGGTGACAATAGCTAACATTTTACTGAGCATCTACTACATGCTGACTTTATATGCATTAAATCATTTAACCCTTAACCACCCTCCCAGGTAGATATTCTTTTTTTTTTTTAAGTCTTTATTGAATTTCTGTTATAATATTGTTCACTTTATGTTTTGTTTTTGTGGCTCAAGGCATGTGGGATCTTAACTCCCTTACCAGGGATTGAACCTGCACCCCCTGCATTGGAAGGCAAAGTCTTAACCTCTGGACCACCAGAAAAGTTCCCGGGGTAGATATTTTTATTAGTACCATTTCCAGATGAGGAACTGATGTGCAGAAAAGTAAATAAGATAATGCAAAATTCAAACTACCAAATTTTAGAAGAGGTTGGCAATAGAAAGGAAGGTCCTACAGATGCTATAATGTGAATTTGAAAAACATGATACTTGGTGAAAGAAGCCAGGCACGAGGGATCACATATTGTATGATTCCATTTATAGGAAATGTCCATAAAAGGTAAATCTATAGAAACGGAAAGACAATTAGTGGTTGCCTGGGGCAGGAGTTGGAAACAGTAACAGTAAACTGCATGAGAGATCTTACTGGGAGAGATGACATCTAAAACTGATTTACAGTGGTAGTTGTGCAATTTGGCTAATGTACTAAAAACCATTGAAATGGGTGGATTACATGATATGTAAAAAATGCCTCAATAAAGTTATCAGACAAAGAAATGTAATTAAAATGTGAAAACTTGATATTTATTGAATACCTCTTAGGTACTTCACAAGGATTTTTTCCAGTGCCAACAGCTCATTCAGTTGTTTACCTAAACTCATCTTTGTTGAGCACCTATTATGTGCCAAGCATCATGTTGGGATATGGAGGTACAGTGCTGAATTTGACCTACTATTGGCGTAAGATCCTTGACCTGATGGAAGGTATGGACTTGCAACTGTTGGGAGTGAGGCGCTTGTCTGTCTCCACAAGCTCCCCAGGGTTTCTGGAGCTCTTGCATTGTTCACGGCTCTTTCCCCAGAATTTGGGCAAGGTCTGTGTTGAAGCAGGAGGTCAGTAAATGACCTTGGAATGTTTGGGTCTCTCCAGGCCCAGAACAGAGTTAGGTGCCCCCACTCTACCCGGCCCCTCCAGGAGGGCTTCACATCCTGATTCCAGGGCAATGCAGTTAGCAGGACAGATCTGTCTGAGAAAAGATGGCAGGGAACTACTCCTCAGGTGTGGCTTCTTGACCCTTTCTGTGAGTTAAGGCCCTTTGGGCATCTGCGGAAGCCTGTGAATCTATCTCATAATAATTTTTAAAATATTGCATTCAGACACCAGTGACAATTTTACTAAAATATAACTATCAAAATACTAAAAAAAATTTGTGATATAGTAACATGTTTATTAATACATTAAGTAAGATTTAGTGGTGAGTTGAATATGATCTTAAGAGTGTGGTAGCTTAAATGATACTTTGAGATATATAAAAACTGAAGGTGATGTGAAAATACCTGTGATTTCTATTAGTAATAATATCACAGGGACTTCTTGTTGCCTGCATTCATGATCAAGGGAAATACTAAATACCATTCACGGAAAGAGTTGGCCATGACTGAGAGACTGAACTGAACTGATTCAGGCACTAGTGAAAATAAAAAATGTAAGTTTTGTCTATGTCATGGACTCTGCAGAATTCTCTCCTTAGCAATCCCCACCCCACCCTGGGGAATCCGTGAACTCCTGCTGTAAGGCAAAGGGCTTTGATTCTTTAGGTTAGACAAACAAGAAAATCACCGAGAGAGGAGAGAACAAATACTGAAGAGCGGTGATCACATCTGGTTGGGTGAGGCAGAGAAAGATTTTAAGACAGGTGAGTTTCTGCTGGGGGTGTTGAAAAGGTGAGCCTATTTTTGGAAGGGAGCAAGGAACTGGGGTTGAGGGAAGGAAACCTGGGGAGGGTTTGCTCTTGGGACTGAATCAAAAATAGCCAACTAACATCACAGCCACGACCTCACCCCAGAGCATTCCCGGGTCTCCTTTGCGTCTCTTCTGTCTCTGAGAGCACAAAGCCTTTGTCCCTCTGAGAAGGGGTACCTGCCCTCAAGCTCACACACAAAGAGAGGGAACACACACACACTAGTTAATCAGACAAAAATTCAATTGCAATTCAAAACATGGAGCCAAAAGAATGTGGCACATGCCACATATCTGGTTAAATGCACACAGTGCCAGCCGCAGGCGTTCAAATGTGGGGGTCACCTCCCCCTGAGGTTTGTGGTGAGAAGCGACTGGGGAAATGGACAAGAGGCCAGAAGCACTGGGTAGGCAGGTTAGAATATGTGTTTAGGGGTGGGTCACTGCTCCTCTGGTCTCAGTGACCTCTGTAATATCGGGATAACAAGTATGGCACCTGATATACACTTAGCATTCAATAATGGGAACTATTATCAGTATTCAAAAAATAATCAGAGATGTTTGCAAACTGGTTTAAGAGACACCAGGTTTCCCTGGTGGCTCAGTGGTAAAGCATCTGCCTGCAATGCAGGAGACCAGGTTCGATCCCTGGGACAGGAAGATCCCCTGGAGAAGGGAAGGGCAACCCATTCCAGTATCCTTGCCTGCAGAACCCCATGGACAGAGGAGCCTGGCAGGCTACAGTCCATGGGGTCGCAAAGAGTCGGACACGACTGAGCGACCAACACCTTAAGAGACACCAGAAGACTGGAAAACTTGTCTTTTTAGGGTGGTAAATCTGAAAACAGATTTGAATGAATGAATGAATGCATCCTTGGGTCTGCGCCGCACCCTAGATCTGTTCTGCACTCAAGTTGCCCCCCACGCGGTTAATGAAATGGACGCCCTCTCTGGGGCCAGCTGCATCTCAGCCTGTGCGATGGTGTGGGGGTGATCATTCGGGGCTGGGGAGCGGTAGCAGATCAAGCTGAGCTTGCAGGTGTCACATGCCGGAGGATCTCAGCTCAGTTTTCCTACGCGGAACCCCATCATCCGCGGGCGCACCTTTGGGCCCGAGGACCAGCCGGCTCGGCATAGCCCAGGCCGATCTCAGGACCAGAGGCTGGGGCAAGCGGTGGAGGAGCCCTCCTGGGTCCACTGCGTGGGTGACGTGCCGGCGCAAGAGCGGCCTCATCCGGGGAAGGTCGATCGAGGCCGCGCCACGCTGGACTGGGGGGGGGGGGGTGTGCGGATGCTCTGGTCCCCAGCCCTTCCAGACCGAAGTCCCCCTCACTCCGCGGGAATCGGGGACCGCGGGAGCTGGGGTGGCTGGAAGAAAAGGATAGCCTCCTTGGCAAAGACCGCGGGGGAGGAGACTCCCTGGCGGGGGAAGCGAGCGCTGCCGAGGCCGCCGGTCCCTTTAAGAGGCCGGGCTGGCTCTGCGGCGATCCCACCTGACCGCCAGTCTGGTGCAGTTCTGTGGGCCGTGTCCCCGGGCAAAGGATCGGAGCCGGGCCGGGCCACAGGACCCGGCGCAGGGGAGGGAGGGGTCCGGTCCAGAGCTGGGCGGGGCCTCCGGCTCCGGGAGCGCCGCAGAGGAAGGCGCGGTGGGCGGGGCTAGATGAGGGGCGGGGCATCCGGCTCCGGGAAGCGCCGCAGTGGAAGGCGCGGTAGGCTGGGCGATGCCTGGGGGCGGGGCCTCCGGCTCCGGGAGGGCCGCAGAGGAAGGCGCGGTGGGCGGGGCGGGGCCGGGGGCGGGGCCTATGTCTGCAGTGGGCGGGGCCCGCCGCAGAGGGGCAGTGCCCGCGGAGAGTCCTCCGAGCGCGGCTGCCGCGGTGCCTCCACAGCGTCTCCGACAGCCCCCGGCGCCTGGACTTGCGACCCTCGCCGTCCCGTGCGAGCCGCCGCGGCCTCCACTGCGGCCCGAGTCCCTTCACTCGCCGCGGCGCCCACACCCGGGGGCGGCCCGGCTCGCCGTCACCGCGGAGGCCGCTTCTGGCGCGCATCTGGAACCGCCCGGCCGGCCGCGCTGGATCCCGCGCCCGCCCTGGCCCGGCCGCGCCGGGAGCCCTGCCCGGAGCTGGAGCCGCACCTGGAGCCGCGGGCCCTGGGCCCTGAGCCGCGCGGCCGGCGCATGGTGAACTCGCTGCTGTTCGGGGAGATGGCCTTGGCCTTCGGCTGCCCGCCGGGCGGCGGTGGCGGCGGGCCCGGGGGCTGCCCCGGCGGGGGCGGCGGCGGCGGCGGGGCCGGGCCCGGGCCGTCGCCGGTGACGGCGGCGCTGCGGGACGACCTGGGCTCCAACATCCACCTCCTCAAGGGGCTTAACGTGCGCTTCCGCTGCTTCCTGGCCAAGGTGCACGAACTGGAGCGGCGCAACCGGCTGCTGGAGAAGCAACTGGAGCAGCAGCAGAGCGAGCGCGAGCGGCGGCTGCGCTACAAGACCTTCTCCCGCGAGCAGGCCGTGCAGACCGGGCCGGAGCTGCTGCGGCCGCCGGCGCCCGGCGGCGGGCCGGGCAGCGGCGCGGCGGCCGGCGCCAACGCCAACCAAGCCGCGGCCCTGGGCGGCCTGCCCCCCGGTGGCGGCTCGCACCCGCAGTACTACGGCCGCCTGCCCGGGACCATCTGGAGCTACACGCAGGTGCGGCGCACGGGCGGCGGCGGCGTGGAGACCGTGCAGGGCCCCGGAGTGTCGTGGGTGCACCCCGACGGCGTGGGCGTGCAGATCGACACCATCACGCCCGAGATCCGCGCGCTCTACAACGTGCTCGCCAAGGTGAAGCGGGAGCGCGACGAGTACAAGCGGAGGTGAGTGGGACCCCGCCCGGCCGCCCCGCGCTCCCGGCCTGGGGTCGTGGGTCGTTCCGTTCCGGAGGGGCCGGGGTACGGGGTGGGCGGCCCGCTGGTCCTAACAGGTGAGGCTGGAAGCTGTGTTTGCAGATTTGGAAAACTCGGTTTTCTAGTTCCGTGGGGGACACCTCCGCTCCGTCACTGGACCAGGCACATTGTTTCCTAGGTGACATAATGACCGTAGGTGTTTTATGTGATGTCACCTAATCCTCATGGCAACACAAAGTGTGGGGCATTCTTACCCTCATTTTGTAGATGAGAAAACCGAGGCACAGATGCAAGTGACTTGCCTAAGGTGGCTTGGCTAATAGGTGGTGAAGCTGGGATGTGAGATACTCCTGGCCAGTCTGTCTTCCACCTTAGGTGTTTTCCCCAGGGATGTACAAAGTGGGCTCCCCTCTGTCAATGGGTGAAAAGAAACAACTCTTAAGTAATCCACTAACTTTCTGTTTTTCCTTAAATTAAAAAAAGATCAAGTGTTTCAGAGTGCTTGGGTCTGTCCACTGAGGCCAGCGTCTGCTGTCTTGCTCCAGCTCTGTCATGTCCAGTTGGCTGGACTGGATAACCAGACCTACATAAGACAGGACACAAGTTTTAGAAACACCTCCCTTCACCTCTCTTCTCCCTACCCCCAATTCTCATGTTTTTTTGGACCCCCAACAAACTCAGCCCTAAAGACTGAGTTATCTGCACAAGCAAAGATAACCTTAGGCTGGAAGACTGGACACTGAATGGACCCAGACCACCAGATCTGGCTGGAGTGCGGCACAGACTGCCTGCTGAACCGGCTAGCACATTTCTGCCCAGCCCAGATTCCCAGCTGGGAAATTGACATTGCCTCCTGCCTGCAACCTGGCTGACAGTTTTACCTAATCGGCCTTCTGATAAGAGGAGAGGGGTTTGTCTGTAGCATCTCAGGCTTGGAAGGGAGCAGGGCCCTCTGCTGTCCCAGGCATAGGCAACTCTGTCTTGGGAACTGTGGCTCTGACCCCCAGGGCTTGGAGGATGCCCTGAGAAGCATCTTTCCTTCCACTCCTGTGTCCTAGCGCTCACAAGAGAGCTGGCCATGGGTTTCATCCCTTTTCTTCTCACCTGGGCGGGCTGGCCACTGGGCAGGATTCAAGTGCCACCTCCAGCACCTGCCAGTGAGAGCCTCTGGCTGAACTGAGTGGTCCTTGAACTACCAGGGAGCCTGTTTACTTATCAGAGAAATGGGAATGATAAAACCCACCCACAGCTGTACAAGGGGCGAGTAGGCTGGTGATGCTTTTTGAAAGGCATGAAGTAGTCAGATTGACGTTATTAAAGTTGAGAGGCTCTTTGTCAGGCTGTGAGGGGGCAGTTGCCCAGAGTCTCCCATGCAGGGCCTGGCTTCCTGGGGAAATGTCTTGGACCCCATGGGGAGACAAGCTACTCTCCTGGGCTGGTTGTCTCTCTGCAGGACTCGAGGATGGCCTGGTGCCTCGCCATGGGGAGGCTACCTCTCTGCCCTGTGTGGGCAGCTTTGTTGGGGTGCGGCAGGGGAACAGGCGCTTGCTCTTGATGGTGAAACTGGGAGGGCCCTTTGGTCTGCCACTGTTGGTGGTGTCGTCATGCCCCAGGCTTGCGGGGTGTTTGCTTTATTGTGTGTGTGTGTGCCTTTCGGACCTGGCTACTAAGGAGATGGAAACACCATGCCCAGTCCTAGAGGGAGATGGATTGGCATTGAGCAATGCCCAGTTCAAGCTGCACCCAGGGTGTGGGGTGTGATGTCAGCTTCTGGTGCTGCCCTGGAATGACATGGGTGCTGCTGAGACAGGTGGAGGCTGAGTGTGTCTCTCTTCCCCCATTTTTTTTTTTTTTTTTGGTGAATTGGGGAGATGCATCTTTTCTGAGGTTGATTCAGGGCTCAAGTCGGATTTTTGCCAAAGCATGTGTGCCTCCTCCTTTGAGCGAGCCTCGGTTTCCCTGTCTGTAAAGATGAGAATAGGGTGGGCTAGAACTCTAGTCCCTGAAGCCCCAGGCTGTCTTAGAGATGCCTTAGGCATTCCTTGAACGTTAAATAAAAATTCATATTTAAAAAAATGTCAAATGGTCATGAAAATATGTTCACTCAATTTTGAGTTCTTACGGTTAACTCTCGGTTAACTCTCAGAAGTCTACCTAACACTGATTTGTTAAAAAATGTCAAATGGTCATGAAAATATGCTCACTCACTTTTGAGTTCTTACTGTTAACTCTTGGAAGTCGACGTAACAATGATTTGTTGGTTCAGAGTCAAGTTAGAGCCACCCCCGTCTTCTCTTCGTCAGAAGAATATTCTGAGATCACAAAGCAAAGTGCTGAAAGCTGGTCCCATTTGCAGCTGCTAATATGTGTGAGTCAGGGCTTCCCTGAGGCTCTGCCGCCCAACCAGAGAGAGAATTAAACCCGAGGTGACTGTCAACCGTAATCCTAGCTCTGTTAGCAGACCGAAAAGGGCTCATCAACCTCAAGGCCTGGTAACTGTTTCTCACTGAGCCGACAGTACAGATTTATACAAATAATGTTCTGTACTTATTTGTTTCTTTATTTGGGTTTCTCATAAGAATTTTCTTTTGGGAAGAGGGCAGGCATGTGATCAACTTTTTTGAAAAGTGTTAAGAACAACTGGACTAGATGATCTCAGAGTCTTCCCAGCCTTGACAATATGTAAATCTGAGTTTGAACTCCCAGCTCACTTCTGATCTCTTGTTCATAAAAGAATGAGACCAAGGTGTTTACCTGGGCTGTTGGCCACTGAAGGCTTCAGATCCTTCCAGGATGTCTAGCATGGGGTCGTAAGAGGTGACCAAAGGAAAGAGCCTGTCCTGGGGAAGGAAAGTTTCCAGAGTTTCCCCTGCCCACCTGGAGGAACTCCCAGCCTTGGAGGTGCTCTCTGCCTCTCCAAAGGGCAACCTGGATTGTGTAGCTCGGTGTTTTCCAAGCTGAGAAATTTTGGGGTTCTACCTCCATAAACTGCAGCCATAGTCATGTATCACCATCTGTATTATTATTTTTGTAAAATATTTTAAACAGCTTTGTTGTTGTTGTTCAGTTGCTAAGTTGTTTCTGACTCTTTGTGACCCCATGGACTGCAGCATGCCAGGATTCCCTGGCCTTCACCCTCTCTCAGAGTTTGCTTAGCTTCATGTCCATTGAGTGGGTGATGCCATCCAACCATCTCATCCTCTGTCGCCCCCTTCTCCTCCCACCTTCAATCTTTCACAACATCAGGGTCTTTTCCAATGAGTTGGCTCTTCATATCAGGTGGCCAGAGTATTGGAACTCCAGCTTCAGCATTGGTCCTTCTAATGAATATTCAGAATTGATTTCTTTTAGGATTGACTAGTTTGATCTCCTTACTATCCAAGGGACTCTCAAGAGTCTTCTCCAGCACCACAGTTCAAAAGTGTTAATTCTTCATTGCTCAGCCTTCGTTATGGTTCAACTCTCACATCCATACATGACTACTGGAAAAACCAAAGCTTTGACTATATGGACCTTTGTCAGCAAAGTGATGTCTCTGCTTTTTAATATGCTGTCTAGATTTGTCATAGCTTTTCTTCCAAGGAGCAAGCGTCTTTTAATTTCATGGCTGCAGTCACCGTCTGCAGTGATTTTGGACCCCAGGAAAATAAAATCTGCCATTGCTTCCACTTTCCCCCCTTCTATTTGCCATGAAGTGATGGGACCAGAGATGCTGTGATCTTAGTTTTTTGAACATTAAATTTTCAGCCAGCTTTATGGAGGTATAATTTGCATATCACAAAATTCTCCCATTTTACACATACAGTTCAGTGATTTTTAGTCAACCCATCGAGCTGTGCAACTATCAGCACAATCCAGTTTTAGAACACTCGCATCATCTCAAGAAGATCTTTCTTGCACCTCTGCAGTGAATCCCCACTTCTCCTCCAGACCAGGCACCCACCGATCTGCTCTCTGTTTCTGTAGACTTTTCACATAAGTGGGGTCAGGCGGTGTGTCGGCTTTGTGCCTGGCTTCTTTCACTCAGATGATGATTGTGGGATTCACCCACGCTGCAGCTTAGACCAGCAGTGCGTCCCTTTATGACGCTGAATAATATTCCAACGTGTGCGTAGAGCACAGTTTACCCACGCACATAGTCAATAAAATGTAAATTTAAAAAGTCACCTTT